CTAGAGGCTTCCCGTTGCTCTCAAAACAGAACAGGAACAGAACGGAGTGGAAAAAGACAGAGGACAGGACAGAACTGACTGCTGCAGAGCAGAACAGACTCAGGGGGTGAGAGAGCAAGGAAGAGCCTAGAATAAGATAAAAGAGACAACGAGGGTGGGACAGGTTAGGTCAGGACCGCAGACTCCCGAGCCCGCTCACTCACCAGCAGCTCCTTACCAGCCGCCCGGGCCCTCCACAGCAGGCCCTCCACAGCAGGCCCTCCACAGCCGGCCCACCCCTCTGACCGCACCCCGCCACTCTCTCTCAACTCTGCTTCTTCCCCTCCCTGGACACAGAACCTCGTGCGCACCTCAGGGCCCTTGTGCTGGCTGTCCCACCTGCCTGGTCCACTCTCCCCTGCATGAGAGGCACTACTGTCACCTCCCCAGAGAGCTTCCTCCTGACCCTCCTTCCTAGAGGAGCTGTGCCCCGGCCTCCCTTTATCTCCTACCCTGTTTCACGTTCTTCATGACCCCGATCACTCTCTGAACTCATCGTGTTTATTATCGGTCCACTCGCTTATCGTGTTTCCATGGGAGCTGATGATGACAGGGATCCGGTCAGCTGCTCGAACAGCTCCGACACGCAGGGGCACCTGGCCGGTATGCAGGCGGTGAACGAGTTTCTTCCCAGGGCTGAGCACACACGTGCTCTGTGTTGTTATTCGCTGTGTTTGTAATTGTTATTGTTATTCTTTTATTGTTATTGACTGTTTGTAGCAGGGATTCTCTTTTATTGTTCTGTTCGACTCTGGAACCTCGACTCTGTGCACATTTGGAGCCAGAGGACTCTTTATTGGAGGGGGGACTGCCCAGCACATTATAGGCTGTGTAGCAGTGTCCCTGTCTCTACCCACCAGATGCCAGCAGCAACATCCTCTTCCCAGCTGGGATAACCAGAATCGTCTCCAGTCAAATTTCCCCAAAATTCTTCATTTGGGAACTTCTGTCCTAAAGTGCCTAACCCATGCTGGAACCCAAATCAAGCCAAACCCACTGCCATTGAGTCGGTTCTGACTCCTAGCATCCCTTTAGGACAGATTACACCTACTCTATAGGGTTTCCAAGCTGCCAATCTTTACGCAAGCGGACTGCCTCTTTCTTCCGCTGAGAGCTGGTGGGTTCCAAGTGAATCTTTCTCTTGACGCAGTTCCAATATATCACCAGCAGGTGGAAGCAAAGTCCGCCCTTCCACTAGCACGGTTGCCCTCACTTTGCGAAATTTTTGCATTTCTTTCCCTCAATCTATAGTTACTGATCTTACCCCACTGCTCACTCACCCTCCCCCACCCCCCTGAGCCCTAGAGAGCAATCCACTCCGTTTGCACTTTTGCAGATTAGGGACAAAGAAGCAACCAAGGGTCCTGAACCCACAGTAGCCAGCCGGCCAAGTGGTGCAGGCACTGACTGTGTTGTTGTTATGTGCCGTTGAGTCAGACCCGACTCATAGCGACCCCTCAGAAAATGAACCCAGGTGCTTCTAAGTTGTCTCAGTTTCACCCCTTTCTCTCCACATGCCCTTGGGAACATTAACATCGCCTGCCTGTGCCTCAGTTTCCTCATCAGTACCCTGCTTCGCCTGTCTGCGTAACTCATCACCAGCCATATATTTTTCGCTCGTGAGAGCAGGAGCTTGGTCTGCTACCACTCACTGCCCCTAACTCCTGCACATAATGACTGCCATGCAATGTTTGTTGACTGACTGGTACACAGAGGAGTGCGGGTACACAGTGAGTATTCAATGAATGCCAGCTGTGATGAGGAGGGGGAGGAGGATCACGGAGGAAGGCTGTCGTGATGTGGACAGTGGGACTGTCGTCCGACGACCCACACGGGCGGGTCCCAAGCTTGCTGAATCAGCAGCACCTCCCGGGGGGGGCTTCCTCCCGCTGCGGCTCCCAGGCCTCCCCACACCTTCTGACTCAGAATCTTGCAGCATCAGGGTCTCCATCGTGGCTGTCTCTCACAAAGGGCTGGAGCACTGTCGTCCTGGCGAGTCCAGATCTAGGGCTTGGCGTGGGGCTTTTAAAGGACGACCAGGTGACCCTGACGTACAGCCCGGTGTGGAGCCCCAGCAGCCTGTGACAAAGGCTGCAGGCCCATTTCACTCACAGTGGGGTCCCCGGACGGCAGCATCGGCATCACCCACGAAGCCTGTCAGAAATGCAGACCTCAGGCCCCACCCCAGACCTTCCGAGCCAGGAACTCAGGGGCCGGGGCCCAGCCAGTGATTTCCACAAGCCCTACAGGTTCCTAGATGGTTGGAGCTTGAGCACCAAGGCGCAAGGCGATCTGATGTGCAGCCCCTCCAGAGACCCCACTCCCGTCGACCTGATAACAGGACAAAGGAGGCTGGGTTACTCTGGAAGACGTGGGGGGGGGGGGGCGACGATTAATCACTGAAGATAGGCCTGTCAACTGGTCAACCCCCAGAAATCTTTTGCTGTCACATTCTAGACATCCCCACACACTACATTCAAGCCAACGTTACACTCCAAAAGGAGCTGGGGGTGGAGGCTCCCGGGAAGAGAACTCAGTACCACAAGGGCCAAGGAGGTGGACCCCATTCCCAGCAGGCTCAACAAAGCATCACCCCTGACCACATCTTCATGGTGTGTCATCACATCACCAAAGAAACACTGCTCTTAGTGTCACCAGGACTGGGCAGACAGCAGAGCACTGGTCCCCTTCACTAGCACAGGGGCAATCTGAAAATCCTGCTGTGGAGAGAGCATTGTGCGTGTGTGTATTTTGTGAATGTGTGTGCATTTGAGTGTGTTGTGATTGTGTTGTTTGTGGGTGTGCAGATCTGTGCATTTTTGCACATTGTGTGTCTGTGCATTTGTATGTGTGAATGCATGTATGTGCATTTGTGCATATGCCTGGATTCACATGTGTGTGGATTCGTGTGTGTATACATGTGTGTGCATTCCTACATGTGTGTCTTATGTGTACATGTAAATTTCTGCGCATATGCATGTGCATGGGTGTGTGTGCATTTGCGCATGTATGTGTACCTGTGTATCTTTGTATAATGTGTGTTTATGTGCATGTGCATATGTGTACATTTGTGTGTATATGTGCATGCATGCATGTATATTTGTATGTTGTTTACATGTGTTGTGTGGGTATATGTGTGTACATTTTTGCATGTGTGTGCACAGATAAGGATATTTGTGCATGTGTGCATATGTGTACATTTATTTATGTGGTATATGTATATATGTGTACATTTTTCACATATGTGCATGTGATGTGCATGTGTATACATTTCTGCATGTTTCTGTGCATATGTGTATATACATGTGCATGTACATTTGGGCATGTGTGTGCATGTACATGCATAAGTGTGTGCATGTGTTATCTGTACATTCATGGATATATTTGCACATGTATATGTGTATATTTGTGTCTATGTGTGTGTGATTATGCATGTGTGCATGAAAGTATGTGCATGTTTCTATATGTGTACATATTTATGTGTGTGCATGTGTATGTGCATGTGTGTATATTTGTGCATGTGCACATGCATATGTGAATATTTGTGTGCAGTTATACATGTGTCCATATGTGTAGATTTGTGTATGTGTGTATGTGTATATGTTTGTGTGTGTGTATGTGCCTGTGTGTGTACATTTGTGTGAGTGTGTACATGTGTATATATGTTTTTGCGTGTGGGTGTATGTGTGTACATTTGTGCACATGTCCATTTGTGCATGTGGGTGTATATGCGTACGTGTATACATTTGTGAATGTGTGATATACTTTAGAAATCCTCGCAAACGGAGCATGGTCTACACTGGCAGCCTCGCCTAGGAGCCTGTTGGAAATGTGGGATCTCAGGCCCCAGCTCCAGCTGCTGAGTCCAAGGCTGCACTCCATGGCATCCCCATGTATGTCAGAGAAGCGCCATGTAAACCAAATGCTAGGCCACCTCCTTCTTCAGACTTTTATCAGTGCAGCCTATTGTAGAGTTGGCAACATGACCACAGCAAACTTTAAGGAATTCTGTCATTATTTCCACCTCTTGTCTGCCAGTGTGTCGTACTGTGGTGGCGTGCGTGTTGCTGTGAAACTGGAAGCCCTGCCATTGGTGTTTCAGATCCCGGCAGGGCCATCCACAGTGGACAGGTTCAGTGGAGCTTCCAGACTAAGACAGGCTAGGAAGAAGGACGTGGCAATCTACCTCCGAGCAAACTGGCCGCTGAAAACCTTATGAACAACCTTATCAGGTTAGTGCTGAAAGATGAGCCCCTCGGGTTGGGGGAAAACAAACCAACCAAAATCCACCACTGCTGAGTCAGTTCTGACTCACAGTGACCTTACGGGAATGGCCCCACGGTTGCCAAGGCTATAAATCTTCATGAAAGCAGACTGCTACATCTTTCTCCTGCAGAGGGGCTGGTGGGTTCAAACCACCAACCCTCGGGTTAGCAGCCAGACACTAACCCTCTGTGCCACCCAGCCTCCTTCTCAGATTGGAAGGCACTCAAAATACAGCTGGGGAAGAGCTGCCTCCTCAAAGGAGGGCCTCACGATGGGGGTGGAGCAAAGCTTTCGGGGCCTTCATCTGCTGATGAGGGACCACACTGAGAAGAAACAGCTGCAAACATCCATCATCGTGAGGTGACACAGGACTGGGCAGCACCCCACCCTGCTGTCCACAGGGTCACTACGAGTCGCAGCCAACTCGACGGCACTTAAGCACGACACCACACCATTATTTTAAGGCATGTGGGCTCAGCACGCCCTCAGCCCCGGCCCCAGACAACAGAGACGCACACACACAAAGACACATGTGCAGTAAGACGACAGCCAAGCCCAGAGCCCAGTCCATGGGGGGCAGCGGGCTGTGCCCTGGCTTCCACAGGTGGCCTTTGAGGAAGAGGAGGGCACAGATGCTGACAGGTCTGTGCGGCTCCCCGGCCTGGGCCCTTTCCCTCCCACCACCAGGTGGCTGGTCACACAGCCTGGTCCTGCCTCCTTCTCAGGCTGAGCTCTCGAGCTGCTGCCAGGAAGGCTGCCCCGGTGAGCAGCTCCGCGATGCAGCTGACCCAGCCCAGGGCCAGGGACCAGCCGAAGCGGACGTCCACCTGGTCCAGGAGGGCCTTCTCCTCTAGGAGACACAGTGCCTCCTGGAAGGCGGCGGCCGAGTATGCGATGTAGACGCTGATCCCAGCGAGGGTCACCATGGCTGCAGGGGCAGTAAAGGGAGAGCAGGTCAGACCTCCCCACATGCCTCTCCCCACGCAGCCCCGCCCAGGCTCAGCCTCGCAGCACCCACACCCCTCCCCGCCACGTGGCCTTTGCATGTGCTGGTCCCGCTGCCAGGGGCACCCTCCCCACCCCACCCCCGCCCCAGGCAACTGCCAGCATCTTCCTTCCAAGTCTTGGCTCACGTGTCACTTCCCACCCTTCCTGCTCAAGTCCTCGCTGACTTCACAGCCCCACACGGCTCTGCACGCTGCCTGTCGAGACTGCAAGTACGCATTCGTCTCTGCAGTCACCTGACTGATTTCTCTCTCCCCACCCCCAAAACAGGCTGTGAGCCCCCTGAGAACACCCCAATTTCCCAGCACCCAGAACAGTGTCTGGCACACAGATATGTGTTTAGAGCTACTCTGGCCAATACATCAGCACCTGTGAACTTGAATGAACTCCTGACTCGGTTCTTTCACACTTGCCACAGGTCAAGGGCTCAGGAACCATGTGTGGCCTGTGGCTCTGGGATGAACAGCACAGGTCAGGGAAGACCTCCACCCTCAGGGAACATTCTACCTGGTGCAGCTGGTTCAGTGAAGTCACCGGACCAACTGACTATTCATGTGAGGTTAACAGCAACTGTGGGTGGCTGGAAGAGCCACCTCTGTGGATTGCCACCGACACCCTGAAGAAGGTGCCTGGGTGCAGCCTTGGTTTCTTTTGTGAAATAATGAAAACACCACCCTTGTGTGTGTGTGTGTGTGTGTGTCTCACCACACTTGTGTGTATGTATGTGTCTGTCTGTGTGTCACCACCCTTGTGTGTGTGTGTCTCACCACCCTTACGTGTGTATGTGTATGTCACCACCCTTGTATGTATGTGTGTGTATCTGTATGCCACCAACCTTAGATGTGTGTATGTCTGACTCACCACCTTTGTATATGTGTGTGTATGTGTGCGTTACCACCCTTGGGTGTATGTGTGTGTGTGTGTGTGTGTGTGTGTGTCTCACTACCCTCCTCTCCCTTTTCTCACTGATGAACCATTTCAAACACATGGGTTGGATCTCAGTTGTGAAAGCTTTGCTCTGCCAAACAGACTGGACTAACCCCGGCCACTGTGTGTCCTGCTGTGTTCAATGCATTAGCAGTATCTGTCACAACAACAGATCTGAACGAGAGATCACAGTGGCTGGAGCCAGGGCCTCCCCACCCCCCCC